AATGGAGAATTAGCTGAATTACCAAGAGTAACTAATGATAATCATTATAAATATCTTGGTATTGAAATAAGAGATAAAATAAATATTAATAAATATTGTACATGATTATTAAATGATGTATCTTCTATTCTATCATCATTAAATAATATGAAATATAGCAGCCTCAATACAATTAGAAAGATTAATAATGATATAATCTCCAAATTAAGATATGGATTTGGTATTTTTTTAATGACTATTTATCAGGGGAAAAAAAGGATATTAAAAATATTTAAAGAATACAAAATGTGAATTGTTGTTTCAGTAAGTAAATATAAAAGGGTATCAAAAACTAATTTGAAACTAAAAAGAAATGACACTTTTATAAAAATAATCAATCTACATCATTTTAATAAAATAATAAAAAATTGGTAAAGTTTTATGATTTTGAAAATTACAAATATATTTCCCCAAGATATTTGAATGATTTATTATTATTAAAAAAATTAAAAAGTTGAATATTTTAATACTAAATCTTAGCAGAATAGTAGAATCATCCAATAGCCATGATATCTCTTACACAAGTTTTATAATACAGATCAACTGTGTTAAAGAATTATAAGTAGGGTATTTACTGCTTTTAAAAACTAATAGCGAGTATTATCATTTACACCTTTTTGTTAAGCATTAAATTTTGTGTTTCACATTATTTTATTAACAAGAGTTATCTAAAACATTAGCAAGAAACAAAAATATGTTACAATAAACAACCAATATCAAAATATACTGAACTCCATTTAAACTCTTTAGATAATTTAATTTTATTTTGTTAATTTTGTTTTGGAATTAAATTTTATGTAATTTCACTAATAGTTAAAAAGAATTTTTGTAGTTTTTGTTTTGGAGTCAATACTAAAATCTGTTAAATTAATAGTTATTTTTACAAAACTGGAACCTAAACCACAACAAATTATGTGGATTCTCTAAGAAATAAGTAATTCCATTCGTTAATTCAATCCCTAAAATTTATTTTTATTTTGACTTACTGTTTTGTGGACACTTATGTCTGGAGAGATAAGAGGAGTATTTATGAAGGTGATTGCATAGATATTAAATACAAAAAGAAATTATTTATTTTAAGCCTGTTAATTCTTCTAATAAAATTCTATCATGTTTTTGTTAGTAATTTTTTTTGGTATGAATGAGTTTTGCAAAAAAAGTGATTTTCCTAAAATAAAAAAGGAATTAAAAAAAAAGGAAATTTAATCAAAAAAGAAGAAAAGTATTATTAAAAATTTAGTAAAATTTTTAAGACAATAGTAAATGACAATCATTTTTATATGGCTCATTTTTAATGTTGTTGAAGCAATTTGTGGCAATGAAGAGTTCAACCCTGAAACTGAAGAGTGTGATGGGGTGGCTCATTGCACAAGTGATTGTTTATGTGAAGAGAATTATATTTCTGTTCCTGATGAAAATAAATGTATACCTAAGTGTTCAATTAAAGGATGTGATAGAGAATGTGCTAGTCCTAATGAATGCACATCATGTAATAAAGAAGGGTATGAAGAAGATTGTTATGTATGTAAAGATGGATATTTTTCAAATGGATATTTGAATTGTAAACCATTAGCTGGAAATACAGTTTTTTCATGTGCTTCAAAAGTTGAAAGTGCAGTGATTGATATAAAAGAAGATTATACTGAACACACTGAAGTTATTGATACAAAAGAATGGTATTTAACCTCAAGCATTTGTTCACCTGTTGCACTTATTAATGCACCATATATTTATGGTAAATGGTTTAAATTAAATATGAATTTTAATGGGTATATCGCTATTGAAACAGTATTCCATTATACTAGATATAATATCACATATATTAAATTAAATCAAGTTAATGTTGGAGTTGAAACTGTTCTTACTTTACAAACAAGTTGCCCTAGTGAAGAATCATTTGTTTCTGAATGCTTTTATTCAAATGATAATGTCGACGATTATATTCTTTCTAGTAGGATTATAGCTCCTGCAACTTCAACATATTATCTATTAGTTCATTCTCAAGAAGATTCACTTCAAGCAACATTTAATCTTTATATTAGAAGGATCCATCATCCATGTTCATATGTTAATCAAGAAATATCATGGAATAGTATTTCAAGAGATGGATATCATTATATTATTAATTCTAATTATGGTGTTTTCTCAGATACTGCTTGTTCAAAACCTTCTTTAAGTGGAATGTGGTTTCATTTATATGGAGCTGATAGATCATTAATTATGAGTACATGTAATACTATTGGAGATTATAGTACAGCTATTCATGTTGTGAGTGCACCTATAAAACATGAGGAAAATCTTAGTTGTAGTTATAAAGAAGATATAACTAAATGTGAGGCATATAGTTATCAAGGGTGTATGGATTTTGTTGAAGACAAAAAAGTAGTTAATTCTAAAGCAACTCTATTATTGTCATTATCTTCAAAAAAAGATTATTATATCTTTGTGTCATATCAAACTTCAAGTTTTGCAATGATTAATTTTAGTGTTTCAATTGCTTGTCCATTTGGTTGTAATGGTCATGGAAGATGTACTGAAAATGGATGTTTATGTGATGAAGGGTATGTTAATTCTGGGGATACATGTTCTACATGTGGAAATGGAAAATTGGATGAAGAAGAACAATGTGATTTGTCTATCATTGGATCCGAAGATAAAAATTGTGATGGAGAAATGTGTATGTGTCATTATTTAAATATTCCTATGACAATAAATGGAACAACAAAATGTGCACCAATAACTTGTTATAATGGAGTAATTGATATTTATGAAGAATGTGATGGAGGAGAAGGTTGTAGTTTTTGTAGGTGTATTGATAATTATGTAGGACATTATATCCCAGAACTTGGATGTTTATCTAAAAATTGTGGGAATCATAGATTAGATGAAGGAGAAGAATGTGATGGAGGATCAGGATGTTATGAATGTAAATGTGAAAATGGATGGTATAATGTAGATAAATTATACTGTTCAAAAATGCCTAAATGGAGTATTTATCCATTAACTTTTATTCCAGGAGTAGTTCTTTACTGTTTTGTATGGGTAGTAGTATTTATAATATTTTTAAGAAAACACAAAAGATTAACTAAGATGATTGAAATTGAACAATCTAATTTAGAACATATTATCCCATTTTTAGAGAAATCAATTATTAAATTTGATAAAACTCATTCACGATTTATTGATATTACTGTTGAAAATCCATTCTTTTCTTTCCTCTCACCAAATATAGAATTTGGTAAAGAAGTACCATTAGATATTCCAGAAAAAACAACTATATCATTAACAAATAAAAGAAAAGAAACATTAAGATTTACATTTCATGCACGTGAAACATTAAGATATGATATTATGTTTAAACCAGTTACAGGAACTGTTAAATCTGGACAAACAGTTCTTATCACTGCTATAATAATAATTAAATGTACAACAGTTCTTACAGAAAAAGTACCAGTTACACTTTCTTTCCCTCGATTAAAAGATGAAATTGCATTAAAATATCAAACAGAACAAGTATCACAAAATTCATCATTTGATGAAGGACATAGAAAGAGTAAATTAGGAATAAAAAAGTTTCATGTTTATTTGAATTTAAATGTTGAATCAGAACTTTCTACAAGAATTGATTATAATTCTCTTAATATTTTATTTCCTGCAATAGGAAGAGGTACATTCGGAAATGTTTATAAAGCAACATGGAGAAATACAGATGTGGCTGTAAAAGTTATGAAAACAGATACTACTTATATTGATGAATTAAAAAAGAATTTTACTAAAGAGTTAGAAATTATGGAACAAACTCAATATGCTTATATTGTTCAATTTATTGGAAGTGCTGAAACTGAAAATTCATTATGTTTAATTATAGAATATTTTCCACTTGGAAGTATTCGTAAATTTTATACTGAACATGAAGTAAATGATTTATTAAAAATTAGAATGTGTGATAATATCGCACAAGCTATGGATTATCTTCATAATAAACAAATTATTCATCATGACTTAAAACCTGATAATGTTCTTGTAGCTTCAAGTAATCCAAATGAAGTTGTTGTATGTAAGGTTAGTGATTTTGGAACATCACAAGCATATATTAATACAAATTCTCATATTGAAAAAAATATTGGTACTCCTATGTATATGGCTCCAGAAGTTCATAAAACAGGTATATCATCATTTAAATCAGATGTTTTTTCTTATGCAATATGTATATTAGAAATTTGGATATGTGAATCTGTTTATCCTGAAGATGAATTTCATGAATCAAATGATATCTTTAATTTTGTTTGTTCTGGAAATCGACCAAAGATACCAGATAATTGTCTTTATAAATCAATTATTGAAGAATGTTGGAAAGTTAATCCTGATGAACGTCCTAATTTTAAACAAATTTATCATAAAATACAACATGTTCTTAAATATTATAATCGCTTAAAAACAAAAAATAACACACAACAAGCCAATCATATAATTTCTAATTTTAGTCACAACATTATCTCTTTCACTCCTTCAGATAATAAAATTAATAGAAACCTTTCTTTGAACGATAGAATTATATTAATGACTTCTCAGCAAAACCAAAATAAAACCAATGATAAAGCTATGAACCTAACACAAACTAAAGAATCTTCTTCTTCAAACTCTTCTTTATTGAATGATATTCAAGATATTCAACTTCCTTTCATTAATAAAGAAAAAGAAAACTCATCTGACTCTTCTTCAGTATCAATGGAAGATGAAATAAAATCAACTGATTCACAAATATTTGAGAGTCAACAAAGTAAAGCTTTTCACAGTTAATTTATGACACATTATTATTGTTCACCACCATCTATTTTTTGTTTGATTAAAATTAATGTTTATCTGTTTTTGTTTTATTTTTAAAACAACATTTATGTTTTAAAATATTAAATAGCATTAATAAAAAAAAATATTTGTTAATCTTAACTCAAAAAGTTAAAATGTCAAAACCAGGTTTATTACCATCACTTCCAGGTTCATCTACTGATAACCCAACTTCATTATTACCTTCTTTAAATCAATCAACCATTCCACCTCCATCAGAGGATCTTCCAGATGAAACAACAAATAACAATGGGAGTATGGAAGATGGAGATGATGACGATGATTCTAATGATGGAGAGGATTCAATCAAAACAGAAGAAAATGTAGCAGAAGTTCCATGTCCTGAACTTGACGAATTAACGTCAGGTAATCCTTTTTCAATTACATCAACTGCTGCTCCAAAAAAAACTGGAGAAAGTCGTTCATTAAAAGTTCTTAAACAAATAATTGAACCTTGTGAAGACCAAGAAGGTAATTCAACGTTTGAGTTAGAATTAGAAAAGATTCAAAATAAAACAAGAGATAATTTAACACTTTATCCTCAATTAAAAAAGGTATATATGGATAGTTATGAAATTTGTTTTGATAGTAAAAATGTTGCTAGTGTAATGGAATCTGTTGATGAAAATCTTCATATTTCAAAATCAACACAACATGTTATGGGCGCTATTTGTAAAGTATTTCTAGCTGAATTAGTTAGTGAAACTCAAAAAGTACGTGATGATGATAAAAATGGAATGGGACCATTATTACCTCAAGAAGTTGCTGCTGCTTATAGAAGACTTATTGAAAGGGGAAGTGTTCCTGACATTAACAAAGCTCCTTTCTTTTGTGATAATTAATTTTTTTGTTTTGTTTTAATTTATTTGTAATTAATTTATTTTATACAAGTATAAATTTAATATATAACTTCTTTCTTAAATAGTGCTCTCTTATTCATTAAAATAATAAATAAAATTAAAGTGATAATATACTTTAATACTAGTTATTTGATAGTTATATTTTAATGAAAAATATTACTTAAAAAAAAAAAAAGGTAATAGTTGTGTTATTAATTATGTATTTTATACAATGAAACATATTATTATATTTATTTTAATAGTCTTACATAATAACAATAAGAAAATAATCATAGATTATTAACAAAATATAAAAACAAAGAACAAAGAAAAGGTAAAAAATTATAATAAAAAAATAAATATATCATATTAATAACCTCTAATAAATGTTTTTTTTTTAATTGATATAACTTACTTTATCACTAGTTATTATTCAAAGAGAATGAATAAAAAATTTAAATGAAAGTTATAAATAATTTGTATTGAAATCATAAATTAATTATAACTAAAACTACTAAAACTACTTATGCTATTTTCTTGTGAAGAAGTTTGTTCAATTTTTTCAACTTCATAGAGTTCTTTTGATAATTTATCATGAATAACTTTTTCTTCTTCTATTTGTTGTGTAATAATTTGAATTCGGTGTTGAAGATTTAATAAATAATCATGATACATAATATTTTCTTTTGTAATTTCTTCTATTCTTTGAGAATAAGTATCTCTATAAAAATAAATAAGTCTATTTGCTTCATTTAATGCTTCAATTTCATTCATTTTTAATTCACTTGGTTCAATAGAAGAAAGAAAGGAAGACGTAATTTTTCCAGTTAAATCGCCACCTTCTTTCTTTTCTTTTCTTTCTTTTTCTGATAAATTTAAATAATTAATTATATCTTTTTGGTGATCTTTAAATGCTTGAACAATTAATGCGTGAAGCCTTTTTTGTTCTTCTAAATCGAGTCCACTTTGTTCAATGGATAGTGCAACAGGTTTATTTAAATAATAGATTGTTTTATTGACTATAGAAATGATATCTTCATTTCCTATTCCACTATTTACTACTTGTTTAAAGTAATGAGCAAATTGATTAATTTTTTTTTGACTTAAATTTAATTCATCCTGTTTTACTCCATCAAGAATAAATAAAGGATTTTCAAGAAGTGGAAATAGAAATCTAACAAAAAATAATTGTTGAAATACCCATTGAGTAGAATTATGATTTGTTTGTTTATTTTCAACTTCTTCATTTATAATTTGTAATGATCGAATGAAGTGTGGAGGAATAGTTTTTAAAGAAGAATATATTCCTTCACATAATTTTGTAATTAATTGTTCATGAGGAATTGATGGAACAAAAATAAGATTTTGAAGAACTTCTTGTAAAGAATTCTTTGCAAAGTCAACTAAAAATCTATTTGCATATTCATTATATAACCTTACTAAAACAGAACTTCCTTTAAATGTTTTTGTTTCTATTGAACTAATATCAATGTCATGTTTTGCTATTTGTTTAAATAACAAACATATATTTCCATGGGCAACAAAATAATCAACAAGTAATCTTGAATAAGTATTTACTTCAGGAGTTAATGCTGGTTGAATAATAATATCAAAATATGATTTTAATACTAATGAATTATTTTTAAAAATTAAACGATCAAATTGATATTTTTTTCCATTTGGTAAAGGTGTAGTAGTTTTCATAAATTACAAACTAATAATTTCATTCATCTCATTTATAAAAACAAAACACAATTCTTATTCTAAAAAAAATAAATTGTTAAATTAATTCTTCTTTGATTTCTCCAATTAAATTTTCAATAAATGCTGTATCCATAATTTCAAATTTCTTCTTTTCTACTGTAACTAACGCTACTTCTACATTCTTGGAAGTTAATTTTTCTTCCATTACTTGTTTTAGTGTTGATAATGCAAGTATTTCTGCTTCTCTTAACGTCATTGATTTATTATATTTTTCATGTAAAATTGATTGTGCAGCTTCTGTTCCTGCTCCTGTGGCTTTAGCATAAAATTCAATAAACATTCCACTTGGATCAGTTTGGAAAAGTCTTGGACCAGTTTCATCAACACCTGCAATTAATAATGCAACACCAAATGGTCTACTCATGACTTTTTTCTTTCTTGACCCTTCTCCAAATCTTAAAGAAAGATCTGAAATGGCTTGAGCAACAACTTCTACATTTATTGGTTCGTCATACATAAATCTATGATTTTGTGCTTCAAGTCTAGCATTATCAATTAGTGTACGTGCATCAGCAGTTAGTCCACTAACAGCTGCACCAATATGATCGTCAATCTCAATAATTTTTTCAATACTACTTCCAAGCATTAGTGGTGATGAAATTCGTTTTTCTACAGCAAGGACAACACCTTCTTTTGTTTGAATACCAATAACAGTTGATCCTAATTTCATTGCTTCTGTAGCATATTCGACTTGGAATAATCTTCCTTCAGATGAAAAGGTATTAACACCATGATCGTTTTCATTTTTAGTCATAAACATTGTTAGTATTGAATGATCTGTTTTCTTTTCAAGTTTTCTTTCTTTTTTTCACTTGAAGTTTTTATTTTTCTCTATTTTATTAATTTTTTTTGTTTTTTTCATAATAATTATTTGTTTTTTATTTTAACTATAAATAGAGAATAGTGTTAAATTTAATAAAACAATGATTAGAAGTAATAGAAGATAGCATTAAGATGATAGAAACATTTTATTAAATTATTTTATTATGAATAGTATATACTGTCTTTTGTTATTATTATCTTATTTTATACTCTGTTAAGATTATTTCTATTTATTTCAATTTTTTATCTTTTATTTATATTTGTTTTATTTTAAGATATTATACTTGTATTTTGTTATTGTATATTCTATTTATTATTCTTTGTTTATTTTATTATTTCTTTTCTTCTTATTATTCTTATTTCTTTTTCTTTGTTCTTGTTTATTATTTGTTTTGTGATTATATGGTGTTATTAATGTTTATTTATTGTTGCTTATCTTCTTTCTTTTCTTTAAGTCGCCTTAACTTATTGTTATTTTTTATTCTTTTTCTTAGTTATTGATATTCTTATTTTTATTTTATTCTCTTTTTAATTTCTTCTTCATTTATTTGATTGATTTTCAAATGTAATGATAAATAAAGCAATAATAATAATGGTAAAGAAAGAAAAGAAAGAAATAGGTTATAAATAATAAAATGAAATAATGTGATGAGAGTTATTGGTGATGATAGGAAATATGAGAATTAATGTATTTATGTTAATACAATTAATATTTATTTTTATTCATTCTTTAATCATAAGATTTCTTGATAATATAAATTTTTCATTCTTTTTGTTATTGATTCTTAATACTTTTATATTCTTTTATCATAAATCACTTCTTTTTATATGATTTTATGAATTAAACCAAAATAAAAGAAAAAAATTTGTTTTTAATTCAAAATTTTCTTTAATTCAGTGATTTGGTTTTGAGATAATGAATTTGGATACATTACATTAACGGTAACATAAAGATTGCCATATCTATTAGAATGTGCTGTTAAAGGAAGACCCATATTTTCGAAAGTAATCACAGTTCCATGTGGTGTAATTTTTTGTTGAGCAACAGTAATAGTATTTCCATCTAAGTGTTTAATAGATCGTTGGAATCCAGTCAATGATTCTAGTAGGGAAACAGTTACACTAGCATATAAATCACTTCCTTTTCTAGTAAATACTGGGTGTTGCTTTGTCACAAATTTTACAATAACATCCCCTGGTTTTAGTTTATAACCATCATTAGCAAATTCTGGAATAATAGTAGTGTCACCATCTCTAACACTTCGATTAACATGAACAGGAACTTTCATAGATTTAGTAACAGTACCTTTACCGTGACATTCATGACACTTGTTTTTAATAATTTTACCTGTTCCATGACATTTAGGACATTGTGTTTTTTGTCTCATCATTCCCATACTTTCAATTTTTACCCCAGTTCCACCACAAACAGGGCAATTTTCTGCGTCATGACTATTTTCTGCTCCAATTCCATGACAATGATTGCACAATTTTTCTCTTTTAAACTCCACAAATACATCTCCTCCAGAATAAACTTGTTCTAGAGTAATTTCTTTCACTATATGAATGTCTGGTGTTTTCTTAGGTCGTTGGGGTTGTTGTTGACCTCCAAAATTGAAATGAAATCCTCCATTCTCGAAACTAAATCCTCCTTCATTCCCATTATTTCTAAAGAAATTATCAAAAATGTCTTGTGCATTCATGTGAGGACCTCCTCCATTATTCTTTAATGCCTCTTCTCCTCCATGGTCATATATTTCTCTTTGTCTTTTATCAGAAAGAACTTCATAAGCTTTATTGATCTCTTCAAATTTGACTTTATCACCAGTAGGTTTATCTGGATGATACTTTAATGATAATGCTCTGTATGCCTTCTTAATTTCTTTTTCATTGGCATTACGAGGTACTCCAAGTACTTTATAGTAATCAAGTGCAAACGAATAAAAAATAAATAAGAAGAAGATAAGTACTTTCATTTTTGCTCAAATTAAATTTATTAATTCTGTTCTTTGATATTATTTTAAATAATCTATAAGGTATAACTTTTTTATTATAATTGATGGGTTTGTTGCTGACGTGAAAACACCTGTTCAGAATTTAAGCTCTTTTTCTTTATTGTTGGTTGTTAAAAACAATAAAATCTCTACCTTTTTGTCCTGTTCATAGAGTATTCACCAATGAAATTATTAAAAAAAATAAACTAATTCAATGTTATAGTATAAAATGATTAAATTATTCAGCAAAAAACTTGTTTATTATAACATTTAGTTTCTTTGTGTTTGGTTATTAAATAGTGAAGTCATTAAACTGTTTATGAAAAAGAAGAATAAAAGTTCTATCACATGTAAATAAAATATGATAAGACAATCTAAAATGAATTACAAAATTAAATAAAGAATAATAAGAGAATGATAACTGCATATAACTAAGTTGTCGTTCTTATTATTAAATGAAAAATTCCTAAAAAATAAGGTGATGATTTCTCTTTCAAGATAAAACCTCTAATAATATAAAATAAATAAAGAAAACTAACTAATATATTGAGTATTGAAAAAATAACAATTTACTTTAATATGTCAAATCTTATACTAAAACTTAAAAAAGAAGAAGAAAAAGAGATAATGAATATTTAGCAATAAACAAGGTTATGAAAATAAAAATAATATTAAATGTAATGATTGAAGTTAAACATAAAATATAACTTTTTTTTATTTTATTAATTTAAAAAAAAATATTTAAACAATAATTTAACTAATAACTTAGAAGATATAATAAGAAGATAATTTCAATAATTTTACTTAAAAAAGATAATAATTTAGTAATTTTGAATATGGAATAAAGTAATAAATTAATAAAAAAGAAAGAAATAAAAAAGCATATTATCATTTAAATAACAAAATATCAAAAAATTTGATGTGAATTAACCAAAAAGTTTACCATAACAAGTGAAACAATATGGTTTTCCACCATTTTCTTTAAAAGAAGATTCAGTAAGAGGATTGACACAAAATGAACAAACAAAATGTTCTGGATGGAATTTTTGACCCATAGCAGAAATAAAACTAACACCTGGTGCAATTGATTTACCACATCTTCCACAAATATTTGTAGATGTTACATGACTAGAATAATGTTCAGCACAAACAGGTTTACCGTCGAGGTTATAAAATTGTCCTCTTGGGAATGGTGCTTTACAAACTGAACAAACAAAACATTCTGGATGATATTTCTTTCCAAGAGCACTTAAAGATGATCCAATAATTGGTTTACCACAATTAGAACATTTAGCTGCACACTCTTCTTTATAACATTCTTCACAATATGGGTTACCATCTTTTTGGAAGAATGAGGGTGTTGGGAAAGGTTTACTACATTTTGTACAAACAAAACATTCAGAGTGATATGTTTTTCCTAATGCACTGACACAATTAGTAGTAATTGGTTTGCCACATCGTGCACATATTTTAGCAAATTTAGCAATGAAACAATCTTTACAATATGGTGAATTTTCAACATTATGAAATGGATTAGTTCCTAATGGCTTTTTACAATTCTTACATACAAAATGATCTGGGTGATAGCTCTTTCCAAGTGCTGTAATTCTTTGTGGTCCTAATGGTTGTCCACATTCAGCACAAATATTTGGATCTTCATTTATAACAGCTGTAATTGGTACTGGTGCGTTGGATTGTCTTTTTGGTGTTGTAGAATCAATACCATCTAATAAATCATCTAAATCATCTTTTGGTGCAGCTTTTGGTTTAGTAGCAGGTTTTGGTTTATCTTCCAACCCATCTAATAAATCATCTAAATCATCTTTCTTTGGTGCTGGTTTATTATTAACTGGTTTTGTAGGAGCATCAAGACCATCCAATAAATCATCTAAATCGTCTTTTGGTGCAGCTTTTGGTTTAGTGGTAGCTTTTGGCTTATCATCTAAACCATCCAATAAATCATCCAAATCATCCTTTTTATGTGCTGGTTGTGGAGTTGGTTTTGGTTTATCATCTAAACCATCTAATAAATCATCTAAATCATCTTTCTTTGGTGTTGGTTGAGCAACAGGTTTTGGCTTATCTTCCAAGCCATCTAATAAATCATCTAAATCGTCTTTTTTAGGAGTAGACTTAGTAGTGACTTTAGTAGAAGATTGAGATGAAGTAGGTTTTGGTTTCTCGTCTAAACTATTTAACAAATCATCTAAATCATCTGCTTTTTTTGGTTTTATTGGTTCCTTTGGTTTAGCGTCAAGGGAGTCTAATAAATCGTCTAAGTCATCTTCCTTCTTTTGTTTATTTGTATCTTTCTTTTCAACCATATCATTTAATGCATTAAGTACATCATCAAGTTCATCTTGTTGAGTATTTTGTTGGTTAGTTGAAGGTGTATCATTAAGAGAATTAAGTAAATCGTCAAGGTCGCTCATTATTTGATCTTCTTAATTTGTTTATTTTCAGTTTGTTCTATAAATACCTTCTCTTTTTTTGTTTCAAAAAAATTACGTCTCTTTTTTTCTTTTTTGTTTTCTCAATAATTTATTTTTATAATAAATATTATTAGTCAAATGTTATCTTTTCTTTGAATGGTGTTAATGAAAGGAAACAAAAATACAAATGAAAATCAAAATGGCAAACTATCACATATAAAAAAATCCTCTTTTTTCTCTTCACCACTCATTCAATTTTTTGTATTTTTTACTAAAAAGGGTTCACTAACTTGAATTTTATGACTAAATCAAAAATGAGAGAAATTTTATTCAAAAAGGATTGTGTTTGTAATACTGGCAATTCTTTAAAAATGAGTTTTATTTGTCTATTCTTAGTGTTTAGTTTATTATCTTCTTAACTAATTACAAAAGAATAAAGATTTATATCTGCTAATTTTCTTTATCTATAAACACAAATAACTTATCATTTTTTTATAGTATAATTTTTATACTAATATAAAATATTAAAATTATTAGAATTAAGAAACTAAATTCTTTTCGTTTTAAGTTTTCTGAAATAATTATAGACAGACTGATAATTATTTGTGTTTTCATTTTTTTGCGAGAGTTGTTGATAAATAAATTTAAATATACAATTTTTAATTACTTTTTTAAATTTAGTATTTGATTAACAAAGAGAAGAACCAAACCAATGGCACTTCTCAAAAAGTATAATTTTAAGAATTAAACCAAGTAAAATTTTTTGAAATAGAATGATTTAATAGATTATTATTTTTAGTGATTCTTTAATTTATATTAAAAATTATAGTTAATATTCAATATATTTTTTATATTATAAAATTTGAAAATTCTTTTTTTAATATAAAGTTTTTGGGTGTAAGTCAAATTAATGAAGAATTATTTCTAATCTTCTCTTTAGTAATTGAAATATCCTTGCTTTTCATTGTTTGTCTATCCTTTAGAAATATGTAGTACTAACCTAAAAACTCACTTCCTTTGTCTTTTTTAATAAAAATTGTTATTCCAAGATACAACAAAATGTTTTCAAGTAATTACATAACTTTTATTTCTTTAATATGCCATAGTCTATGTCTAATAGTTTTATATGAGTTTTTGCGCTTTAGCAATACCTTTAAGAGTTGGTTGTGACCTACTCATTATAAATCTTTATAGATAATAGATTTTCAACTCCAATATTAATTGTTCCTATATTTAAAAGGTGTGCAGGTTCTTATGACCATCTCTGGCATTGTGTAATGAAAGGGGTCTTGATAAATTTCATGACATTGTTGTTGAACATTACTTTGGTATGAACGAGGACTTCTTTGTTTCATCTTCCTTTTGTTTTGTCCAAAGAGATACTAAAGAATTAAGTATTGAAGTAAGAAACAACAAAATGGTTTCTCTTGAAATAGTCCCACAGAGGTTATTAGTTCAGGATAGAGAGGTTTCACTAGTCCAACGTTATTTAATTTAACGACAGCATAAAATGATTGATATTTTTCGTTTTATATTTAATACTTTTTTAATATAGAATCATTCTTGAATAAAGTTATAATTTTGTTGAATATTTCATTCATGCTTTTAATTAATTTTTATATATTTCACAAAATCAGTAATCCAAAATTTTTTACTTTTTTTATTTCTATGTTTTAATGAACAAAACTTGTTAATATTTTTTTGTTTTATAATGTTTTTAATGGTTTATAACAAATAGAAAAAATTTCCCAATTTTTAATTAATTTGAATAAGTTAGGTGGAATCTAAAAACAATTCTATAGAGTCAATAGGATTTAACTAATAATGATTGTCAATAATTATCTTTATATTATTATACTGTTTTCATGTATTTTTATGGTTTGTTTAAAAATAAAATAGAATTTATTAAATAAGTTTAAACAATTAAATGATTAGACTTTTGATTAGAATTCTTTTAATATCCATATCAGTATTATAAAAAAAATATACAATCAATGACTAACTTGATTATTAAAATGTTTTTGAAATAAGAACGTTTTTAAATGAAATTGATCAAAAAAATATTAAATAACAATTATAAAAATGAAATATTTTTAAAGGAACAATAAACAATTAAATAAGTAAGAAAAAGAAACCAATATAAAGTGATTAAAGAAAAAAAGAAGAGATATATGAAAATAATATATTTTAATAGAAAAAGTAATGAAACGTATTTTTAAAAACATAAATTAAGAAAGATAAAATGAAGTTTATCAGATATAAATTTATATTATAATATATATATACTTAGATCGAACTTTCATTTAAAATGAGAATAAGACAAATAATTATATTGTTAAATGATTCTTATTAAAATAATAAGAATAGTAATATTATCAAAATACAAAATTATAAAAAAAATTACAATATAATAATAATATAAAAATAAATAATAATGATTTTTTAAGAAAACTATTGATACAATTGGTAAGATAAAAAAATAAAAGAATTGATCTTATAAAAATTATAATTTTTTTTACTTAATGAAAGGATTATATTTTTTGTTATTCGTTATTCTTTGTCATGCTGATATTGTTGGGATGTATATGACTGCACCACTATTAACTAATCAATACATTTCTCCAGAAGATATGTGCAGTGGAAAATTGTGTAGGTTCAGAGTTAAACAAGTAATGAGAAAATGTAAATTATATGAACATAAACTAAAACAACTTGATAGAATAGAACGAAGGTTGAACCGTGAGGCAGAAAGAGATATGCTTGATTTAAGTTCATTACAAAATACTCAAGACCATCGTGTCTTACAACACAAACTCCGAAAAGAACAAAAGACATTAAGAAAAGTTCGTTTGACTCGTGTCAAATTAATGAATTTAATGAGAAGAGTATTAGGCGATCTTTCTTATTCACAACAGGCTCGCGTTATTCGTTATGTTGGGCTAGAACATAGGATAGATCCTTCATATGAAAATTTGACTAAAAACAATGGGTTAAATCATATGAAACCCAAGTTAATTTAATTGTGACAATCAATATTTTGTGTTATTTGTTTTTATGTTATTAAATAATCTTTAAAAAAGAAGAATTTTAAGTTTTGACTGAAAAACTACGTGGTGATTAATCAGTGAGGATTTTATATTTAATAAATTTATCAAAAAAACAAAAGTAAAAAAAAAAAAAGAATAAATTGATATCAGAGAAGGGAAAATAAAAAAATAGGATGAATTGAAGTTTTTCAAAGAAAGAGAATAAAAAAAGAAAAAGAACTTAAAAATAATAAAAATTTAAAGCAATGAAAATTAATGTCCGATTAACTTATTCTTCAAACACAATTGAAATTATATTTGATGACAATGAGTTTAATGGTATGACAGTCACTGGTATTAAAGAAAAAATTCGCAACCAACAACCAGATGTTGGAGAATTTAGATTAATTTTTGCTGGTCGAGTATTAAAAGATGATGAAGTATTAAGTACTCTTGGTGTTAGTAACAATGTTACATTACACCTTGTTCGTTCACGTAGTCCTACTTCTGCCCCTTCACAACCAACTCCAAGTTCACAACCAACTCAACCAACCCCTCAACCCAATGAACAAAATACTTTTCAACAACCACAAATGGGTAATATGCCTTTGCCTAATTTTGGTGGAATGGGAGGTTTTAATGGAATGGGAGGAATGGATATGCAACAAGCTATGAACATGTTACAACAAAATCCACAAATGATCGAACAAACTATCAACTTTTTAACACAAAACCCACAAGCAATGAGGGCTATGTTAATGATGAATCCACAAACTGCCCAAATGATGAATAACCCACAATTTAGTATGATGTTTGATCAAATGATTAGTAACCCAGAATTGTTACGAATGATGATTAGTAATAATCCAATGATGGGAATGGCTGGTATGCAACAACCCCAAAATGTTCAACAACAGAATACCCAACCTCAAAATGTTCAACAACCAAATACCCAACCTCAAAATGTTCAACAACAAAATCCATTTAATTTGTTATTCGGACAACCCCTTCAAAATAATGTCCCAAGTCAATCACAAAACGTACAACCAACCCAAAGAAATCTTCATGAAATTTATGCCAATCAAATTAATCAATTAAAAGAAATGGGATTTTTTGATGAAGAAGAAAATCTTAGAGTTCTCCAAAGAGTTGGAGGAAATGTGAATGCTGCTGTTGAATTATTATTGCAAGGGCCAGTTTACTAAATTTCAAATTAAATTTTACTATTTAAATTAGGTTTAATAAAAAAAAGTACAGTAGTAAAGTAATCAATTATCAATTGGTGAACTTTTTGAACGTTTTCTTGAATGAGTTTGGAGTAATGTTATATTTAACGGTGAGCTTCCCTTTCTACACATAACAAGATTTTGATCAAGAATACCCCACCAATCAGTTTCATCATCATTTAATAATTTTTGTATTTTAGAATTTGGAAATTGTTTTGAATTAAGAATTTGTGGAAAGAGAATTCCTTCATAAGAAGGGCATTGAGTTTTTAAATTAATAAGAGTTGTATTAACAGTATTGATATCAAGAAATAATTTATTATAATCTTGTTGAATCAATGATTCAAAGAGATAATTTGAAATAAAATGAATTAACGAAGAATAATGAACAAAAATTATAGTTTTTGAAGTAAGTTGAATTGAATACAATTGTTCATTACATCTTTTGAAATTAACTACAATATCACCAAATACATGTTCATTAGTTTTAAAAACGATATCTAATTTTTGATTTGGGAATTTAATTAAGTTAATTTGTTTTGAAGAATATAAATGAAGAAAAGATTTACAACACAAGCTATCTCTTGGAGATATAATTGGTGAAAGGTAAAGCGTTAATGGTAATGAAGAAATAGATAAAGAATTAATTGGGTTTTCAAGAATTTGAGAAGAAGAAAATAATGTTTGAATACAAATATTCAATAAAGAATATTTAAACAAATTAGAATTTTTATTAAATATCTTTTTATTTTCAATACTTTGATTTGGTTGTATAATTAAAGGTTTATCAATATTTAATTGCTGAATAAATAAATGTGTCATTTCAGTTTCAAATTCATTACCTTCAAAACAATAAGTAAAACGATTTATAGGAATAGGAATTTGAGTTGGTTGTAGACGATGATTTAATGTTATAAGTTTATTAATTAATTTATTGTATTTATTAATTCCAAAAATATAAAATGAATTTGATGATGAAAGAGTATTTCAAAAATAGTGTATATTGCATTATTATTTTTAATTGAAATTGATAATTGTTTATCAATTGGTTGATGTTGAATAAATAAATCAAAGAAATGAATATCAGTTTTTGTTGTTAATTGAAAGAAATAAGAAATAAAGAATGTATAAAAACGTTCTAATGAAGCAGCGTAAAAAGAACTTTTAGAAGAAGATAAAGATAAGAACATATCATTTATTTTAAAGAATAATTTATCTTGTAACGAAGGTAATAATGTTGAAAAATAGATAACTAAATGCATTGAACTATTAAAAACTAATGTTGATGGAAGAACTAAAATTTTAGGCATTAATTCACAAAAAAGATTAATAATACCAACAATAAAACAACGTTTATTTACAATAGAAGAAATATAAAAAGAAGAATATCTAAATATTCTAATAATTGTAAGCAAAGATTGTTCATTATTAGTTAGTATTAATTTATTTAGTAAACCATATTTTAAAACAATAAAAACTTTCCATAATAATTCAAAACAATGAATTGGAATAGTTGATTGTTCAATTTCAATTTTATTTGATTGAGGTAAATTTTCATCAATTGAAGACTCAATAATAAAATGTTCAGTTATAATAAATAATAAATAGTATTCATTTAAATTAAAGTATTTATTATATAATAAAATATTAAGGATTAAACAATATTTTTTATTAATTTCAATTTTTTCAAACATTTGAGTATGACAAATTAATGAATAATAATATTTCATTTCATTTAATAATAATAAAATTATTTTATTTGTTTGTGGTTTATTTTGTAATACTATTTTTTCAATTGAATTTATTAAAGGTTTAAATAATAATAATAATTGATTTTGATGACATTTTAATATATTAATTAATTCAGAATATATAATTATTAATAAATTATATTCTGTAGATTCTAAACATTTTTTAAAACAATAAATTAATTCATTTACAATTAATTCATTATATTTAATATTTTTAAGACATTCCTCCATAAAATTTCCTAAAATTGGAATAATAAAATATATAACTTCATTAAATTCTTGTTGATTAATTTCAATAATAATTTTAATAAATTCTTTTAAATAAATTGTATAAATTGTTTTTGGTAATGGATTTTGTTTTAGAAATTTTATTGATAAATCTTTCATTTCTTGTATTAATCTTGAATATATCTGACAATAATGAAGTAACGTTTTTGGTGTTTTTATTAATTTAAATTCTATGCAATTTAAGAATTGAATCCAAATATTTTTTAACTGTTTAAATGAAATTAATATTATTTCTGGTTTAGAAAAAGATATTAATTTAAATTTAATAAAATCATTACAATAAAGAGATGAAATAATTATTTGTTGAATTTTTATTAAATAATTTGCCCATACTTCAAATATATCATTAAATTCTATTAAATAAATTAATTCTTTTTTAAATACTTTCCATTCTTCAATTTTATTATCACTTATTATTAAACAATCATTTATTAATGAAAATATTTTTATTATTACATTTGAATATAATAATTGATTATTTGGATTAAATCCTTCTAATATTTCTTTAATCATTCCAATTAATAATAATATTATTATTTTAATTTCATCTAATTCTTTATTTTTTATTAAAATATGTATCCCTTTATCAAATATTTCTAAACCTTTTAGACATACCTGATTATATTGTTGATAATATGTTTCACTTTTATTCTTTTTATTAAATAATAATGAAATATCACATAACATTGAACTAATAATTTTTGGTGTTTTTTGAAATTCAATTGGTATTTTACTTTTTTTTAATAAATTTCTAATATTATTAATAATATAATTAATTTTTCTTATTATTTAAACAAACCGATAAATACTTATGCATTGTTCTGCTCGCTCAAAATCTGAATTTGATAATAAAGGTAAATTAAGTCCAATTGATATCGCATTAAAAATAAAGTTTAATCGTTCTGTTGATGAAATCTTAAGAAAAAAGGTATCAATATTTGTCATTATTTCTTTAATTGTTGTCATAACAATATTTTTTTGTGACTCTTCATCAAACATAAGTAAAGGATTATCTCGGATATTTTGAATAACTCCAAATCTCTTGACTGATGCTAAAAGCATTAATATCTTATGAGATGTTTATAGAACTTTTTAGCATTTTCGGTTTATTGTTTTTAAAACAAAACATTTGATAGAAAAAGAATAATTCTTTTTTTTTTATTTACTTTTTTGTTATAGTACACTTTATAAGAGCTTATTTTGTTAATAATAGGAAAATATATCATAAACGAATTGAACACTCTCAACTTCTTTCGACTCATTTTAAGTTCTGTAGTGTTGAAATGAATAGAGGAATGACTCCCTTCATAACCAAGAAAAATATAATTAATCGGATGGAAGGATAAAAATAAAAATAATTTCTTAAATTCAAGAAAAAAAAAATAAAGAAAAAATGTTAGTTGATTATTGCATGTCACACTCCCCTGACCTAAAGTATGAACACCAAGCTCAAAGAACAGAAAAACTGTCAAAAATTACTGGTAGGCATGCGAGTATTGCTAAGATTGAACCTTTTCTCGTAGCTTCTACAGAGGAAGAGGCAATCAAAAATGGGCAATTAATCAGAAAATCTGATCAGATAAAAAAGATGAGTGGATGTCGTCCTTTAGCATATCAAGTAGATGATGAAAAAGGAGAAAATAATAAAAAAATTAATGTACTTAAAAAGAAGTTTGGAGATGACCATAATGTCCATGGTGTTATTCCTTATGTATTAGTTTGTTAAAATATTTTTCTTAATTTCATTAGTTTTCTTATTATTTAGAATGTGGACACTGAAGAAGATGCAGCTGAAAAAGGAAAACAACTCAGAAGTTATGAAAAGGTTCAAAGAAAAATGGGCCAACTCTAAGGAAATATAACTGTGTAATATTGTGTAAGAAAAGTATACCCTAAGTGTGATGAATAATTTCTTTTATTTTAATTTCTATAAAGAGTTGTGGAATTGCAATTTAGGAGTATTTTTGTTAACCCCAAAAAATTAATTTTTGTTATATATAACCATTTCCTAAGATTTTTTTTTTGAATTGAACTTAAAAATTAAGAAATAGAAGATGATAAAGAAGAATAAAGGTATTGGAGGGAAGAAAAGTAATTTACAATTATCAGGAGATAGTTTATTAACAAAAACACTTTATGTTCATATAGATGGAGTGTTAATAATAAATAAAGAAGTTTGTGGTTATTTAAAGAGTAAAAAAAAAAAGAATAAATAAATTCTTTCAATTCATTTTGACTTTTATATTTTAATGCAGTTATTGTTTAGAGATATTAGTCAGTAATTCGATAAAATTTAAATACTAATGAAATAGGAACCAATAAGTTCAAATTCAACAATTAATTATCTAAAAATATTAAAGAAAGTTGATCCAACACTTGATATTTCAGCATTAACAAAACTTAAAGCAATAACAATACCAGCTACACCAAAATATAATGAAGAAAAAGATAATTTGAATCATGACTTAATATTATATTCTGATGCTATTATTGAATCACCTAAATGTTTAACGTTTGTTAATTATTAAATAAATAAAGAAAAAGAAGAAATAAAACAGAAATAATAAAATAGTCCAAGTAAATGTAAAAAATCACAAACAAAATATAAAATTATTAATTTACTTGGTCAAGGATCATTTGGTCAAGTTGTTAAATGTTTAGATTTAACTACTAATCAATTTGTTGCATTAAAAGTATTAAGAAATAGACCAGCATATTTTAGACAAGGAATGTTAGAAATAGCTGTTTTACAATTATTAAATGAAAAATTTGATATTGATGGTAAAGGAAATACAATAAGATTATTTGATCATTTTTTATATTGTAATCATGTTTGTATTGTAACTGAATTATTAGGAATAAATATTTATGAATTAATGAAACAAAATGGATGTCGAGGATTTGGGTTAAATGTTTCAAGAACATTTTTAAGTCAAATATTAGAGTCATTAAATATTCTTTATAATAGTAATATAATTCATTGTGATTTAAAACCAGAAAATGTATTATTAATAGAGTTTGTTTCTTTAAAATA